AAGATTAAATAGAAATCCGAAAAAATCAGTTGTTCTTTTGACGATTTAGTTCCATTCTTAAGGTAATCGTGGGGCGCTTCAGTCAGTCCCATTGATATACAAACAATAAGCGCTGGTGATTAGGACACTGCAATCGGCGGATTAGGCGCGGCTGCGAATTAAAAAAATCATTATTCATTTTCGCCTGACCACTAAAAGCGATCGTGAGGTGGATACATTGGACCAAAACTGAGGCCAAATCAGAGCATGGCAAGCGTTACTAGCTGTTGTAGCCCAGGTGTTCTAATCCGACTAGTAGGCAGAAGGCAAGAGGGCGCTTCTGATTGTAATGGCTTCATTCAACAGTACACAAGGACAGCGGGGTTCTTTAGTTTGTCCACTTCGGCATATTTATAAGGTACTGATCCCTCTAGAACGTTCTTGACGTATGGTGGGCGCCTGGGCATTCTTGAAACTTCTCGACTGCGGCCACCGCTCACGCTGTGGGCGGTCGTCCCGTTTGCTCGACGTAGGATGTGGGCGACTTGCATGTGGGCATTAGAAAACGTGTGAGGCTCGACTGTGGGCGTGTCCCAGCTGGCCTGTTCTTTTCGCCGACTGCCGTGACTGTAACACTGACAAAGACGAGGGATACTGGAATGGCTATTTCTGGCTCAGTAGCCGACCTCAGCCGGTCACACCCAACCTCAGAGATAGCCGCCCCCGAGGCCCGAACTGGATAGTTAGAAGTCTAACGCTCTAACCACTGTGCCAGTGGCTACTTACCGTTGCCTTTGTCAGCTAACAAGTTCGTGGGTTCGGGCGTCGGGGCGGTTACCTCTGGGATTGGGTATGGCCGGCTGATGACGAACAATAAGCCAGAAATGTCCATTCCAGTCTGCCTTGTCTTTGTCGGCAATATATTTCTGCTTACAGTATGCTAGCCGTTAACCGATTGGGCTGGAGAGCGAGTCCCAACGGGTAACGAAACGAGGGAGTTTTGCACCGATCGGTGTCACATATTTGAGGAGTGTGGTGGCGCGCCTAGGCGTAGGCTCACGCTGCGTCGACCACCTGTACTAGATCCCCAATTCGGTTCCCTTGGCTCTGCCTCGACACCGGG